AATAAATAAATAAATAAATAAATAAATAAATAAATAAATAAATAAATAAATAAATAAATAAATAAATAAATAAATATCCAATGGGGGAAGCTGAATTAGAATCAGAATCGAGCTAGAAGGGACCTTAGAGGTCTTCTAGACAGCACGCATGCTGTCACTAGCTGCTCTTCTGGTTTCCGGTATATGCATGCACCAATGGTGGGTTCCAGATCCTGGTGCAACCGGTACGGTGCAACGGGGCCGGGCGCCCACCACGTGCATGCGCACAGCACCCACATGCGTACCCACTGCCCGCGACACTCCAGCTGCTTGGCATGCACAAATGCCCCGATTGGCTGAAATAGCGGTAAGGAGAGTGGGCGGGCAGGTGGGCCCTCCGGAGCACCGTACAGGAATGATACCTGGTGCTCCCAGCAGGCACCGGTATGCCTCTACCGGGGGGTTCTGGTTGTATCACACCACTGGCATGCACACTGGCCAGCTGGTCTTCGGGTTTAGGTGCTCCGGCATGCATATGCACTCATGTGTGCGCTCGCACATTCCCATTTGGGCACTCAGTGCTGAAAAGGTTTGCCATCACTGCCCTATACTATATCAGACAAGTGACTGTCCAGTCCCTTCTTAAAAACCTCCAGCGACGAAGCATCCACAACTTCTGAAGGCAAGCCATTCTACAGGTTAATTGTCTTAACTGTTAGGAAGTTTCTTCTTAATTCCAGGTTGCTTCTCTCCTTGATTAGTTTCCACTCATTTTTTTTCTTGTCCTGCCCTCTGGTGCTTTGGAAAATAGGTTGTCGTCCCCCCTCCTCTTTATGGCAGCCTTTCAAATATTGAAATATTGCTATCATGTCACCCCTAAAAGTCCTTCTTTTCTCTACAGTTCAACAGTTCTTCATATGATTTTAGTCCCCATGCCTTTAATCATCTTAGTTACTCTTCTCTGCACTTTTTCCAAAGTCCCAACATCCTTTTTTGTAACGTGGTGACCAAAGTTAATGACCACATGATGCACTTAACTGCAGTGATTCACTTAACAACCATGGCCAAAAAAGGTCAATAAAATTAGGCACAGCTCACTTAACAAATGCCTTGCTAAGCAATGGAGATTCTGATCCCAATTGTAGTTGTAAGTCAAGGACTAGATGTAAATGTCAAAACACTGTTTAAATATGAAGGTCTGTAATATTGGTTCTTTTGCCCTCATCTCCTTTATTAATCTTCCTTTCATTTCCAGCCCCCACCCCCACCCCAGGTCAACATTATCAGGACAACAATTGGAATCACTGGGAATTGGCCAGTACAGATAGTCCTTACTGTTGATTTACAACAGTTCATTTAGTGACATTCAAAGTTACAACAGCACTGAAAAAAAGTAAGTTATGACTGTTTTTCATACTTACAACTGCTGTAGCACCCCCATCAGGGGTGAAATGCTACCAGTTCGGACCATTTCACCCAAACTGGCAGTAAAAAATGCTACCGGTTTGGGCAAACCAGTATTTCCGACGATCAGCTGGGTGACGATCAGCTGTGACGCGCAATTTATGTTAGCTAGTCTAAATCACGTGGCACAGTGGATTACCCCACCCACCCGCTACTGACCTTTGCAGACTCTGAAAGCTTCAAAATGCTCCTTTTTTAGCGCTGCAGGGGCATGCCTCAGGGGTGCATGCGCTCACTCAGTAGCGGACTCACTGAGCTGGTAGCAGACTTCAGATGATTTCATTGCTGATCCCCATGGTCATGTGATCAAAATGTGGATGCTTGGCAACTAACTCATATTTATGACCATTGCAGTCCCTGGGTCATGTGATCATCTTTTGCGATCTTCTGACAATCAAAGTCAGTGGGGGAAGCCAGATTCCTTTAACAACCATGTTGCTAACTTACTAACTGCAGCGATTCACTTCACAAATGTAGCAAGAAAGAACATAAAACAGGGCAAACTTTACTTAACAAACCTTTTCCTTAGCATAGAAATTTTGGGCTCAATTGTGGTAATAAATCAAGGACTACCTGTATATAAATTTAATAAATAATAATAAAAGTTGTAACAATTGCAAGTAGTCCTCGAATTACGAACACAATTGAGCCCCAAATTTCTGTTGGTTAGTGAGACATTTCTTAAGTTAATCTTGCCCCATTTTACACTCTTTCTTGCCATGATTGTTAAGTGAATCTGCAGTTGGTAAGTTGGTCATTCTTTGAGTTGATGTCCTCAAGTCATAAAAGGGCCGTAGTTCACCACCCCTGATTTAAATGGACAGAAGACAGTAGAACTAAATGAGGGATTAAATGCTCTCTGCCAGGAGTGATCAAACATTTTTGGGACAAACTTACCACCAGGAGGGCGAAGAGGATGACACCACAACTCCACATGTCCGCGCGACGTCCATCGTACTTCTCCCCCTAAGGAGCAAGAAGCAGAGATTGGGGGCTTGATGATTAGTTTCGGGAAGGGGGAGAGAAGATTTCAGGAATCAATGAAAAATATAAATTTGAAATGAGGGTGGGAGGCTTTTCCAAGCATTAAGAGCAACTGCAAAGGGGGAATAACCATTACTGACATATAATATGAAATAATCATTTTTAAAAACTCACTAAAATGGTAGCTGTTGTTCACTCTGTCCCATTTGGGAAGAGAGATAAGGGGAAGAGACCTGCAAATACTGAGGGGAAAGTTTACT